ATCATTGTTTGGATGTTATTGGATTTGCTATATGGACAACATGGCTACTCCAGATGTTTTTTGGATTTCAAGATACCACGTTTTAGCCATCACAGGGGAATCCTAAAGAGAGAGCCAATACACTGGAACCTTGCTATCTGAAGCTTCTGCCTCCAACAAAGGTAAAGCAATTTTTTCTAATATTGGGACTGACTGGCATGCTTTACCCCTACATTACCTAAAGTTTTCCTGATGCAAAACATGAAGACTTCTTGAGAAATTCAGTGGTCTCTACCTGCATAGGAGCCTGTGACTTCACAAAGAAAGGAGACATGCTGGACCCCAAGGAAACATCTTCTTTGAATTGCAAATGGACATTAAATTTCCCTGACTTTCCAGTGAAGTATGACCAAAAGGGGAGGTGCCAGCCTGCAGACAGCCCTCCACTACCATCTGAACTGAGACCAGAAACAGAAAATGCAGACCTAAGACTAACATTTTCATTTTTTCCCCTTCTGTTTGCCTGATGCAGAAGACAGTGTGACCTTGAAAGCTTGCAATATGTAATTGTGCATTCTGGTTGGCCCGATAAAGGTATCATTGTTTGGATGTTATTGAGCAAAAAAGTTGTACAAGTTGTTTCGCTCATCTCAAAGGTGCTATACGACCCCTTTCCATACTGATATTCCACACTAACACAGCTGTCTCTAAATAAATGCACAGTGGTGCTGAAGAGGCCTGATACTTTAAACTCGGGTGAAAGAAAAGATTAATCCGACATTCTAAATGTGAGAATTCTGAATTATTTTGGAGGTCCAGAAATGTAGCACCTCCCCATGGTTTTTCATGTAGATGAGCACACAGCTCACCTTGAAAGAACAAAGTATTGATCTGCTTGTTGGCCATCTTTGCATTTTCAATCAAATTACAGGAAGCTGCATGGATTGGGGATGGGGGTTATTGCTCCATGGGGCAATCCCACATGCTTTTGCAAATGTGTGCACAGGAGAGCCTGACTGGGCAGGGGAAAGGTACCATCCCTCAAAGTAATGAGGGATGCAGCTCCAATTAAGTGTGAACTGGAAGGCTTCCAAAGGACTCACCAGCTGGTCAGTTATCCATTTCCCCTCCATAGCTTTTAACAACCTACAAGAAGTGGAGAAAGAAAGAGAAAATTAGCTGGCAAGCAGAATCACAGTTCAAGCAAACATCAGAAGTCAGAAAGACATTGCAAAACAGAATTGGCACTTACTGGGACTGGAATTCATGCTGCTTGTTTCTAAGGTTCTTCAATCTCTCCTTCTTTTCAGAAAACCTGGAAATAAGAAATATGTGGAGTTGTGAATATGAATAAGGTATTCTACTCCACGAGAATGTAGTGGCTAAAGTAGAACCTGCTATCAGGCTCATAAGTGTAATTTTTAACCTCTGCATATCACTTTTGAGAATTGTAGGTGTTTAATATATGAGACAAAAAATATCTACCACCTTTAGTGGTGGCAAGATAAATGAAATTATGCCAGAACAAGGCTGGACAGCCACAGAGGTCAAAGAATTCAACCTACCCCATTTACCACCAACACCACTGTCACATGGATCCTTGCAAGCCACACAAAATTGTTTTCACAAAACCTGACATGACCATCCTGGTTTCAGAGCATTTGGCTTAATCTAGAGTAGAAATGGCAGAATATAGGCCATGGCTAATTTTGGGGTAATCATTTTGATCCTAGAGGTGGCCTGATCCAACCAGGCACTTCTTACATTCTTAAGAAGAGCACAGGCCCAAATTCACTGAACCTAGCTCAACTATGCTTTTAAAACCACCTTTGTTGGATGTTTTTAAACAGAGGTTGAGTGTCCACCTCTCAGGGTACTATAACAGTAGATTCCTGCATTGGCAGCGGCTTGCAGTAGAAGATCATTGGGAAGAGTCTCTTCCAACTTTATAATTCTATGATTGGTAAGAGATCCTGAAAATGCATTCTTGCTTTAGATTGTTTGTATCTTCAACAAGGCATGTTAATTCTCAAAAGGAAAATACAATAGTGCAAAGACTGAAACCAGCCCACGTGAACTACACAGCCATGTTTATTGATGTTGCAAGCCCAAACAAGAAAATAATTGAAAGATGCATAGACAATATTATATTTAAACAGTAATTTATTTTCTTCCTCCCTCCCCACCACCATTCCCCTCAGTTTCTCTTTAAAACGTGTACATTTAAATTTATTATGGAATGTCGTGTCTCCATTAAGAGAAATTCCTGCCTTATGCTTTGGTAGCACTGGTTGATTCATTTACGGTTGTAAAATAAATATTAGTGGGGAATAGGGTGGCAGGGGAAGCCACTTGTTAACAATAAACAAATCGACCTTTTAACAAACTGACATATTAGTGTTCTGACTGAAAGTTATGTCCTTTTGCACACATGCACATCCAACAGGTTTTTAGTAAGTGCAATACAAAACAAAAAGGTGTTTTTATTTTTAATCCCAGAACCGGTTGTGCCTCAGCTGTCAAACACTTAGGTTACACCAGAGGTGGCCCTGAAGTGCTCATCTAAGACTCATCACTGATACACCCATGTAAACTCCATGATTACAGGATAAATACAAATATTAACAGCATTCCTCTGGCAAACAGCTTGTCTTTTAAACTAAAGGCAATCTTCTAGACTTGTATGATTAAACCTCATGACTGAACACTCATGTTGCTAGTTCTCCTCTCCCAAAAGCAGAAACATACAAAGCTGAAAGAACTGATTGAAAAATGTGGTGTAACAGGTACTGCACATGAACTATACAAATGTCCAACATAGCCGCCAGAACCTGTACAAAAGCCGTGATAACAGAGCTTCTGTTCACCATAGGAGGTGACACCTGAATGACATTTATTGCTTATCAATAAGCAAACCAGTTAACCGACTAGGGAAAAAAATTAACTGGTCTACATTTTCTGCTTTGTGGGGTTTATTTAAAACATATGTGACAGAGAACAATAATGATATGCTATAATGCTCTGTGAATCCAATCTACGAACACTTATTCAGAAGCATGCCTATGTTCAACAGAGCTTGTTGCTGTTATGTGCTCTCAAGTCAACTCCAACTTCTGGCAGTTCTTTCCTAGGGTTCTTGGCAAGATTTCTTCAGAGAAGGTTTGCCACTATTACTTTCTTGAGGCTGAGAGAGTGTGACAAGCCCAAGGTCACCCAGTGAGTTTCTATACCTGAGCAGGGAATTGAACCATGGTCTCTCAGAGTCTGAAGCCAACATTCAAACCACTATACCACACTGGCTCTCTATATCACAGTTCTCTTGGTATGATTTCTTCAGAGATTGTTTGCTCCTGAATTCCTCTGAGGCTGTGACAATGTGACTTGCCTAAGGTCACCTAGTGGGTTTCTATGGCTGAATGAGGATTTGAACCCTGGTCACTTAAACCACTACACCATGCTGGTGGAACTTACTGCCAATAAATCTGCAAAGAGTTGCACAAATTCACAGGTGCTCAAACGTAACCCCCACTGAACACAATGAGGCTTACTTTTGAGTGAAAATGGACAGAAATGAAGTGTTCCTCTTTTCTAATTTCCAGCAGACTCTGTATGTTTCCTGTAATACCAAATAGTGACACATAATTATTACAATTGCTTTTAAACAGCTCAACAACTTCCCATTACAGTACAGCTGAAGGAATCAGTAGGGGAAGTTATGAATATCTGATGAGCTCTCAAACAACCACATCAAGATGCCAAGAGCAGAATGGACAAATAAGTGCATCCTTCACATGACTAGTCAGGTGAATGCGACAGTCAGGAGTGTCTGTTATCAGCTTCGGCTGATACGTCAGCTGCGCCCTTACCTGGATATGAGGGATCTGGAAAGTGTGGTACATGCTCTGGTAACCTCACATCTGGATTACTGTAACGCACTCTACATGGGGCTACCCGTGTGCCTAACCCGGAAACTTCAATTGGTACAAAACATGGCAGCCAGATTAATCACTGGCTGCCACTGGTGTTATATCCAGGAAGGAGCATATAACACCAGTGCTCAAATCCCTCCACTGGCTGACAATTAGTTTCCGGGCACGGTACAAGATATTGGTTTTAACCTTTAAAGCCCTACATGGGTTGGGGCCATCTTATCTCCGGGACTGCCTCTCCCCGTATGATCCCCCCTGCGCACTTCAGTCTTCTGGGAGGAATCTGCTTCAGCCTGTGAAAACTAGGCTGTTGCAGACC